AAGTCGCTGAGGGTGGCGCCGAGTTCTTGAGCGCCATTGTATAGGAGGAGTGAGCAGCAGCGAAGGCGTTGCGGGCGGTGACGGCATCGCGCATGCTTGTGAGGTTGAGGGCGGATGGGAGGGAGGCGTGATGAGCTGGACACGAGATTGTTAGAGATCCAGCCCACATCCGAGCTCAAAGACAGGATTTCTCAAATCCTAAAAACAATTAGTTTTTTATAATTTGGGGATTCAATATCCCAACTTTTTTTTTTTGAAACAAACAAGGTTTATGGAATACCAAAATCCAAAAAAAAAAACCCTTTTTACATCCCAAAACTTAAAATCCAGCCTATATCTAAAAAAATTGAAAAAACACCCCCTTATCATCTTGAAGATTAGGCACATTATTGACTGTCCATCTCATTTGCATTCATGATCGGATGTGGGTCAAGCAAGATCAGATCCAAACCTGATCCCCTTGAAACATTAAATTTTTATGGGACTCCGCTATAAAATCCACGGACAATTTTTCAAAAGAGACTCATTTGAACATTTAATTGCAAAAAACGACCTGTTTCCAAGATATTTTTAAAAACCGATCTTGTTTCAGTCCTGCCGCTGAAACCAGGTTGGATTCTTTCCGAAACTTCACGGGAGTTCAATTCCCGTGAAGTTTAGTATACTTTTAAACTTCACGGGAGTTCAATTCCCGTGAACTTTAATTTCTTAAAAAACTTCACGGGAGTTTAACTCCCGTGAAGCTTAGAGAAAAATTTCCCCCTTGTTATTCTTTGCTCTCACGTGAATCATCTCTGATACTTGTCCCCTCTCCCCATCTGAGACGTGAATCATCTCTGATACTTGTCCCCTCTCCCCATCTGAGATTTCTGCAAGTTTCTCATCTGGGCACCCCTAAGATTCAACCTTTTGAAGTGGCCCTCTCCCCATCTGAGATTTCTGCAAGTTTCTCATCTGGGCACCCCTAAGATTCAACCTTTTGAAGTGGATTTCTCTCAAAATTGAATCTTGCTTCTTGATTTTGCATGGGTTCATCATTCTAGCCCGATTTGGGATCTAGCTTGGGTGAAAATCATTGTTCGGCATTGTCAGCCTCTAGCTTGGGCGAAATGGTGCAGGAGGCTTCCTAGAGTTGCTGCGATGAGGAGGATGAGAGACTTCTATATGGAGATCACATTTCACTTGGAGAGCTCGGTGATCCCAAAATGGATTCCAAAATGGGAAATGAAAGAATAACAAGTACCAGAGATGAGGGACTTTGTTATTTTGATATACTAGTTTTTACACACGTGCAATGCACGTGATTTAATATATGATTAAGTATTTTTGGCAGTTTGTGCTCATTTTTTTCTTTAAACTCTTACATCTCGATTATTTTTTTTATGTTTGTTTAAATGTGATACACCCAATTTAAATTTTTATGTTGATATTTGAATTAACAAAAAACAAATATAATTTAAAAATAATTTGAACTTTTATATTATTTTTGACCGATATGAAACTAAGCTTTATTTGAGAAAGTATAGCATTACAAAGTGAAAAATATTAAAATAGTGTTATACAAGGAAGGTGAATATTTAAAACCAATATGACAAAATGATTGATTTAAAGTATGTTAAAACGATGCAAAAGAGAATATAAAGTTTATTCCTAATCATTGATAGACATCATAAAAAATATAAATTAAAGATTAATACTAACTCTAGTATACTTTTATATGATAAAAACATCCATATAAGAATATAAAAGTACTAAATTTTTTTTATGAAACTCCCTTCTAAAGATTCCTAATTTCACTCAAAATAATTGAACTATTCTATAAAATATTTATAAAATATTGTTTTTATTTCTTCTATTTTATTTTTCATTGGGTTAAGATCAATCCTTCTTTAGGTTTATCATTTATCATTTCTCGGACAATTCTAGAGTATTTTCTTCATCATCTACATCAATTGTGACATCAGGCTAATTTTGTATTTTTTATGCTATTATCTTTCCTGGGCTCGTTAATTTTTTATCATCTTATTTAACTTTACAAATGTACTTTTTGATTTTTTTTCTATTTCAATAAGAATAAATATTAATTTCATATATATAAAATTCTTTGTGTTCCTAATTTATTACTTAAATAAATTAGAAGCTATCTCTTTATTTTCCTCTAAAATGAATTCTTCTGATGTGCATCTAATAAGAATTTCTGTTATTTTAATAATATTACCTTTGCTCTATCCCTGTTATTTTTCATAAAGATCTAAACTAAATACCTGTATTATTCATTACCAATTTCTCTTAGATTATAACATTAATATTTAATTTGAAGAACACAGTATAGAATTTATGAATACTTACTAATTTTTCTTATGTCTTCCATGGAGATTTTTTTCTTTGATTAGGATAAAGTTATTAAATTATTTTTTAATGTAACTCATTCAGTGCTTCATTAATAGATATGTCTTATGTTAATGCCAATTCAAGTGATTCATTGACGTTTTCTGAATTTTAGATTTATTTCCATCACTTTCACATTTGCAATGGAAATAACTCAATTCTTTTAAAGTTATCTCTAAATATTCTAATAGTTTCTCCATATGTAATTCCCTGTATTCTTTTACCCTATAAATATTATTAACGTTAAAGATTAAAGTTTCTAAATTAAAATCAATTAATACTAAGGTATAATATTATAGTGTTTTATCATTTCTATGGATTTAAACATCTATTAATTAATGTTACGAATGTATTTTGGCTACCCCAACTTATTACTAAAATTATATGAAATTACTTTAATTTATATAGTGCCGATAATTTTTAATCTATAATATTTTTAAAAATTTTATCCATTAACCGGATGTTTTTAATCAATTCTTATTATATATATATATGAAAAATACCAAACAATTACACTTTTCTTTGCCAAGTTTTAAAATTTTAGCCCATTTTTGTGGTTTTGAACTTTGAGGGTGTGATTTATAATTTTTAAAATTTTGAAAGAGTTTTTAAAAAAAATTGCTTTTAAGTTTGGTAGTTATAAATTCTATGTTTCATGTGTTGGTGGTAATTTTTTTAAATGTTAGTATATTTCTTGTAACTCTAAAATTTTGAGGGTGTCTTTTGCAATTATTAAAACTATAGATTAATTTTAAAAAATATTAAATTTCAGCGATCTACCAATCGGCGAATTTGATGTGTGCTAGTTAAAAATTTTGAGTTTTTTTACGATTTTTAAATTTTGAAGGAGTTTTTTTAAAAATTTTGAGTTAAATTTTGGCAAATTTTAATTTTTTAGATGTCTAAGGATAATATATTGATTTCATCTTATTTTATTTACAAATTTTAGAATTTTAGAGTGGCTTTTTATAATTTGAACTTTTAAAGGTGTTTCTATAATTTTTGAGATATTGAGGGTGTTAATTAAAAAAATTTAAATTTAAATGTCAAAAATTTTAGGTGTATCATGGTAATCTTTTGAATTCATCTATGTTGTTTGTAAGTTTTAAAATTTTAGAATTTTAATGCGCTTGTCTGTAATTTAAACTTTTGAGGGTGTTTCTATAATTTTTGAGACATTAATGTGTTAACTGTAAATTTTAAATTCTTTACAAACTGATGTTAATTTTTTAATTTCATGTTTTTTATTTTAAGTTTTGAGACATTTGGATGAGTTTTATAATTTTGAACTTTTCAGGGTCTTTTCTGCAATTTTAAAACTTTTTATGGTTTTTTTACAATACTTCATGTATTATAATATGTTATCTACTTGTAATTTCTTTATCTTAACAAACTAATATCATTTTTATGTTTTATATATTTTATTAATATTAGTTTTTTTAAATTGTTAAGCTAAACATGGTTCACATAGGATTATGATAAGATATGATTATGATTAGGATAGATTAAGATATAAATAAAATGTTCAAAATAGTGAAGGGTAATATTGACCATTAAAAATTAGAATTTGATTATAGATAAGATAGTTCAAACTATAAAGGGGTATATTTGTCTAAAAAAGATTTTCTGAACTCGTGCTTTTAAAGGGAGTATGATTTATGCGGAGCTTCAATTGGCCCCTCTAAACAATAATTCCTCCTTTGTTTTCTCTTATCTGATGCTTTTCTTCCCGGAGCTTCAATTGGCCCCTCTAAACAATAATTCCTCCTTTGTTTTCTCTTATCTGATGCTTTTCTTCCTTACAACCACCATCCCTTTGTTCCTTCTAATCTGCAAGTCTCTCCCTTTGAAGCCTCTCCTTTTATGGGCAAGTGAGGTTAGATTACTCTCAATCTTGTTCTGGCAATAATTCTTGTACTTTTTTGTGTATTCAGTGAAGAATTGTAGGCTTATTTCTTTCTGGGTCATTGAGATTTCGATCAAAATGAGTTCCAAGAGGAAGTGTGCTTCTAGAGTTCAAAATGTGGAATCAATGGAGATGTCGGTACTATGTTTGCCTGTAACAAACTTCACGGGAGTTGAACTCCTGTAAAGTTTGTTCAACCAAAATAGCTTAACGGGAGTTGAACTCCCGTGAAGTTTTAGCAGTTTGTTAAAAATCTTCTAAACTTCACGGGAGTTGAACTCCCGTGAAGTTTCGAAAAAATATTTTCAAAAACCGACCTGGTTTCAGCAACAGCGCTGAAACCAGGTCGGTTTTTAAAATTAACTTCAAAATAGATCTTTTTTTGCAAATAAAAGTTCAAAGAGGTCTCTTTTGGAAATTTGTCATAAAATCCACGGGTACTCCGTGGGAATAAGAAACGCCCGGGTCAGCAGAAATTTCACTGCTTGTTCTTAAACAGCAAACATCTTATTAAACCCATCCCCACCGTTCATCTCGAAACAAGCAAACTAATCAACGGTTTGAACCTGTTTGCTGTTTAGAAATATACAGCAAAGTCGAGGCCGATGCCAGAGTCAAGCGGTTCGTTGAGAGGCTATCGGGTGACGAGATATACCATAAATGAAAGATCCCTTCTTTTTCTTTGTATTTAAAAAGAAGAAAATAATCCAAATCCATACTCTCCCTTTTGCTTTCCATGGTTTAAAAAGAATTTCTTTATCTTTGTCTTTCTCAAGTTCATCTCTTTCTCTCTAGACTGCTTCCAGCTATGAGAAAGAAGCTTGACACTCGCTTTCCCGCTGTAAGTTCTCTGTTTCTCTCTCTTCTTCTCAAAGTTTGGTTCTTTGGCCCTTTTGATTGATTTTGGCAACTGGGTTTTGTTTCTCATCGGATTTTAGTATCTGGGTTGTGTTTTGTTTTCGTTAGGGCTTGAGGTTTAGTTCTTGGGCGTTAGAGATAATGAGTTGCTAACGTGATACTGTAATTTTGTGTGCTCTGTTAGATAAGTTTTATTTTCTACTTATAAGTTTGTTGTTGTTCCTGAGTTGGGTGTATTTTGTATATGGGAAGTCTCTTTTGATAATTAGGTGTGAAAATGAAAGCGAGTACTTTTTCTAACAGTGCTAATTAACTTGGTTTTTATTTACCCATTTAGGTAGAAGCAAAAAACTTACTTGAATTTGTCAAGTGGAGTAATGGTTTTTGGTGGGATAGAATGGCTGTATTACTTTTTGGAGAATGTTAAGCCAAATGCTTGGGTGTTTGCTGGTGTTCTTTGTGCAGGACAAACTTGAAACTGTAACAAGATACAAAGTTGTTCTATGTTATTATTTCTATATGGAGAGTATTTGCTCTTGCCCTGCAGAATTTATGAAATCTGTGAATTAAGGACATCATACTTGTGAAATGAGCTTTCTTAATGCAATCATGAAAGAGTATAACTTCATAATATTAAGGCATTTCTATTCACATATGTATCTATACTATATATGTATGTACTATATAAATGGGAGAAGATGCATGCTGAATATTGTTTTTGTATGTGACTTGCACATGCAAAATGATTCAATGAAAACTGATAAAGATGTGTGTGAAATTAGTCATCGACAAAAGTTTTTAACGAGAGTGATTACAAGGATCATGCCATTCATTGTTTACTTGAATTAAACTATCAATAACTGCTGCGCATAAAAAATGCATTAAACTTCTAAATTCCAATTACAATATCATTGGAACTTCACGTAAATTGGCATGTTTTAAAAAATATACTAAACTTTAAACTGTGAACAAAGTTCTATAAAATGAAGATAATTTAAAATTAAAGGGAAACTTAATAATTTCACCTTGGCTGTTCTTGGACACTATGACCTTCTAGTGATCGTTCCACTAGGCTGAGTTTTGCACCTCACGGAGGCCCCAACAAATTACATAGAAATGACCTTCACATTTATATGATGGTTTTACACTAACTGTATCTTTTATAATACTATTATACACTCAGAGCTAGATCTTCCACAACTAAAGAAAATGGAAAATGAGGTTTAACTTGCCTAAAGATCCAACATATTGAGATATTCCATGTAGCCTTAATTTTCATGGATTCTCAAGGATAAAAGAAGTCACGCTAGGAGTCCATTTAGGCGTAAACCCATACACTTCTTTAGATACAACTTCTCACCATTAACTTTCAACTTCATGTATTACCAGACTATCACTTGATAATATTGTAGCGGGTGTTAAATTGTAATAATTTCAAAAGAATCCATTAATAATTGATCCAACCAATGTTGCAAAAGACATATGTTTTGTGTTCTCAGGTAGTATGTAACATATGAAAGTAGTATATGCTGCATAAATGAATCATACAAATTAAATGAAAGTCAGTTCTTTTCACAAATAAATGTTTTATGTTAAAAGTACCTGAAGGGATTAACATAAATCCAATGTTAAAAAGAACAAAAATGGGTTATGTAATGCCCTGACCTATTGTTAAGGGTTAAAGAAAAAATGTAGAAAAACGTAACGCATAACGTAGGTTATATTGTTTATTAATTATTTAGATATTTTATAAATACTAAGAATTCATAATAACTTTAATACTTAGAATCATCAAACTTTTCAAGCATAACATAATTATCAAATATAAAAATATAATGTCACAATTTCTTAACAAATGTTAGTCATATATGACTAACAATCATTTCAAAAAGCATCATCAAATGATCAAATACATTAACGTCGTCAAGTTTAAGGCAATAAAAATTAGTCTAAAGTAAACCAAATACTTCTAATTCTCGAGTTCTTAACTTCACAAGAATATTCAAATTCCTAATCAAGTTCACTACATCAATCAAACTAAATATGATTATGTAACAACAGTAAGAAATTTTGCATATACAAAGATTGTGTGTTCAAACCTAATTTCACAAAATCTAGTACTAGCTGAAAACTAAAAACTAAAACCCAATAAAGATCAAGTAATAACTGAACGTAATTATTTCACCAACACAATTAACCCACTAATTAATCTCTATAATCTAATTCTATGACAAATCTTAAAATGTTGAAGGGTAAAGTAATGGTGCAACAAGTTTGATATGATTTAGGGTAAATTGGTAATATAAAAGATTAAAATTTGGAAGATAATTTCGGAATCACTATTTATTTAAAAGATATAAACTGAGATGCTTAATATACTACTGAAAAGTAAAAGTTTACCTTATTGGAGTTGCAGAAGTTGCTGATAGCCGGACGAGGTTTAGAGGAGGCAAGGAGTTAGGGTTTGGGTTGGAGGAGACGAAGAGATTGCATATTCGTAGGAAGAGAATATGATGATCGGGGACTAAAAGGGGTAGAGTTTAAATAATTTGGACGATGGAGATGCATCCTCGTGTCCTAATCATTAATCAGAGATCCACTTTAATCTAGTCCTAATCATTAATCAGAGATCCACTTTAATCTAAAAAACTCATGTTAATTGATTATATATCTTAATGTACATTTAATGCAATATAATGTGTTTTTTTCTGGGTTAAACAGTTTCAGGGTTGAATGTGCATCTTACATAACAAGAGGACACCATTAGGTTATAAAATGGGTTAAACGGGGTTTTTCAACACTGCATAAATCATACTTTTTTAATCAAATGAGTAGTTCATAATATTAATTCACATGTCTTTCAAAATAGAATAATTTAATAAACATTGAATAACACCAACTAACATCCTACATAATGAAAATGACAATTGGAAGTAGCTCAACACCCCATGCTTTTTTTTTACCATTCCCTGCATGACCCAAAACATGTTTGCCTCTTACTAAAAGAGAGAACATGAAGCTTACTCGGCAAAGTTTTGACCTCTTCTCTCGTTAGGAAAATGTTATTACCATACGAGACACATAGACATAAGTAATTTTCTAGAAAAGTAGAAGAAATATGTATTATGAAAAAACATGTCTTAATTAGATATTAGTACAAAAGGGAAAAATGCTTTCACCCCTAAAGTGTTTTCATCTAGGTGTTGCCCTCCAACTTGATTAGTCAAATGTGAAAAACCCTATACCCTCTTAAACCCATTAGATCTAAATCTTATATTTTTTAGTACCATTTTACTCCCCTATTTTTCTTTGTACTCTTTTTTCTGGTGTCTTTATTCCTGTCTCTAATTTCTCTCTTCTGTCGCACGTAATCTTTTTGAGTAACTAAAGAATATATTAAAGATGTACCAGAAACAACACTATCCCCACTACCTTCTTTGCTTGTCCCCATCTTTGTCATCACCGGCGACACCACTGTCACTGCAAGGCTTGGCCTGATCTTCAAACGATAGATAAATGACCTAGCTGTCTAAGGACTAGTCCTCTCCTTTACTAAAGGATAGAGGGCAGGAGATATTGTTACCGCTTCACAAATGTTTGTATGTTATTCCATTCTTCCTCATTTCTATGTATTTGTTTATTAATTTTTCAACTAATCATATATGTATATTTATGTGTACTTTGGAAATGAATTGGGTCTGACAGAAAATAGTATCTCAATGATAATACGATAAATCAATATAGTAAAAACTTACTGCAAGGATCATCGCCACTCCTTTCTCATAATATTTTGCAACAAATTTGACGGAAAAGTTAGAGCATTCATTAAAGTGAGTAGAAAAAGAAAAGAAATTGAAATGGACTAAGAAACCCGCTACATTCTCTTCAAATTTATTTGAAAATATCGCGAGGAAGGAGGGGTGATAGTTCTTGCAATAAGGTTTTTTTAATCTTATTGATCTATATTAGTATCGAGATATTGTTTATATCAAACCAAATTCAGTTTCACAATACACATGTATATACATAAATCATTAGCGAACAAACAAATAAAGAAATATATGGAGAAGGAGAATACTTACATAGGAGTATCTGTGAAACGATGAAAATATCTCTGAAGGGAGAGGACTTGTTCTCAAACAACTAGGCCAACTATCTACCTAGAGGAGATCAAGGCAGAACTGGCGGCGATAGTAGT